AACATATCATCTGCAAATGTTTGAAATGCTATTTTAATGTAAATTTTTTGTGCTTCATGTCAAGAAAATTATGTAAAATCAAAAGAATATTTTTCCTTTGGTTTTTAAACAGAAGTTTTCACGTTTTCAGTTCCTACTTAGTTCTAGCGTAACATCATGTCAGAATTTTTCTGGGTTTATGCTCTGCACTATTTACCAAGCATAGTCAGCCAAATTACAGCAAGTACTCTCAAAGAACCATGGCACTGTATTGACTTGAGAATATAGCGAAGAATTCAGCTTTGATACTGGTGATTTATGCTGTAACCAACTTCATAGTACTCCATTAGAGAAAAAGATTAGGAAAGAGTAGACATGAGGCAAATACTAATGAAATATATTTATGCAGATATAAATTATGCTTCAACCACAGAATTAAAAATACATATTTTTCTTTGGCTTTTAATGACCTACAAATGTATTAAAATTTGCAAAAGCACTATAAAAGAAGACCTTGTCACATTTCTCCTTCTGTAGAAATAGTTATATGTCCTTGAAGAAAAAAAAATAGGATTTACCAAAACCATACAAAAAAATTGTCAAAAACTGAACACAAGTTAATGCTTGAACACATAGTTCTTGCTTCAAATCAGTGTGCAGTCATTACCCTCTCTGACTTGATACTGCACCAGTATCATAATCCTTTCTCTCATTTTACTCAGTTTCTTATCTTTATCTGGAATTTTTGGATTATGCTAGGACATACACTGGACACAAATCTATGGGGCCAGATGGATAACTGAAGGAGCTGGCAGAAGTGGTTACCAAGCCATTTTCAATAATTTATCAACAGACCAGGCTAACTGGTCCCAGTTGGCTGGAGGCTAGTGAATATGATGCCCATCTGCATGGAAGGCAGGAAGGGGTATCCAGGGAATTACAGACCAATTAAATCCAATTACAGGCCTAAAGCTCAGTGTCATGGAAGGTTATAGACCAGATTATCTCAAGTGCCATCACACATCATCTACAGGACATCCATGTGATTAGACCCAGTCAGTACAGATTTATGAAAGGCAGGTCCTGTTTGACTCTCCTAATCTCATATGACAAGACAATTTACTTAGTGGACAAAGTGCAGTGAATGTTGTTTACCTGGATTTCAGGAAAGCATTTGTGTTCCACACAGTATTCTACCAGTGAAACTGGCTGCTTGGGAGTTGGATGGGTGCACTATTCACTGGATGAAAAACTGTCATGATACCAAGACAACTAGGACCAAAGGGTCATTGTAAACTGGGTAAAATTAAATTGTCAGTCACTCAAAAGTGGTGTTACTCACAACTCAGTATTAGGATAAGTTTTGCTTAATATTTTTGTCAATGATTTTATGAATGAATAGAGGATATTCTGAGTAAATTTGCACATAACAGCAGGCTGGATGAAATTCCTGATTTATTTGAGGGTAGAGAGGCTCTGCAGGGGAATCTGTATAGGCTATATTGATGGGGTGTGTCCAATTGTATGGCATTCAACAATCAGTACAAGAAGGATATTGAATTTCTTGAGGGTATGCAGAGAAGAGAAACAAAGGTGGTGAAGGGACTAGAAAACAAGAAATATGAGAGAACTGGGGCTATTCAGTCTGGAGTGGAGGAGGCTGAGAGGAGACCTCATCACTCTCTACAAGTACTTGAAAGGAGATTGCAGCGGGTGTCAGTCTATCTTTCTCAGGTGACAAGTGATTGGGCATGAGAAAATGGGCTCAAGTTGCACCAGGGAAGGTTTAGTTTGAATCAGGTAGAATTTCTTCATGGAAAGAGTGGTTAGGCATTGGTAGAGCAGTCCCAGTCACTGGAGGTGTTTAGGTACATGGTGTAGTTGTGAACTTGGTAGCCTTAGGTGCATAATTAGGCTTTATGACCTTGAAAGTCTTTTCCAGTATAAATAATTCTATGATTTCCACAGTGCCTCTGGTTCCCATGGAAAGCATTTATAATCAATGTGCTGTGATTTCCAGTATATGTTGGAGAGCTTAAATTAATGAAAAACAGTACTAGTAAGGTACTAATAAGGAGTATTATAATATCATTTAGCTTTCATATTCATATTCACTGTGTTATATTGTATTCTATTCTAAAACAATAACTGAGATGATGAGAAGTTGTCCAGTTCTGCCTTTTTCAATTACTTGATGAATAGTGTATGAAGGTCACAGATCTACCTCCCCTATCCTTTCTAAGAGAATTCTTCCATTACTGCACTTCAGAGGAAATTCTGAGAGTCTAAAAGCATTCACCCTGTTTGATCACTGTTCTTTTAGCTAAATGTGTCCTTCCTTGACAGTGCCCAGTATACTCTTTTAAACAATGTGGGAATGCTCGTGAAAATATATTATTGAAGCTGCCATGGAAATAAGTTGTCTGTCAGCAGTACACTATGAAAGCACATTGGCATGTGTGAGAGTTAAGAAATAGCTTGATTTTCTTTTTTTTTAAACCAGCAGACTGAATTGATTCATAAGGTGAGAAAATGTAGTCTGTAGTCTCTGTGTAAAGTTGTTAACCAATCTCTATTCTATCACTCTGCAACATGCACAAGATAGGACTTCATGATGCGTGCCTCAACTTTTACTGCCAGTCAAAACAGTGTTTTTACAGTATAACCACTCCTGAGTGAATAATGCTTTTCAGAAGCTATTAGTACGTGGTTAACTATTTGAACAGTTGAAATACTTCATCTGAATTCAATATACTAAAATATTATTGTACAGTGTATTAATTTGGGGCAATGAAATGTGAAAGATCAAGGAAACAACTTCCTCTTACTTTGTCCCCTCTCTAAGCTCGACCTTCTCACATAAATGGAATCAGGTCTAGGTAGACCTGACTAGAAAGAGAGAAAATAAATAAACACAGCAGTCCTTCCTCTTGCTGTTGTTCTTTCCATCATTCTTCTCTGCCATGAGAAAAAACAAACGCCACATTGTTGAATAGAAATGTACATTTGTTTGATCTGAATCTGCTCAAGCAAAGTAGTCCAAGGCTGTAGCAGGTCTTTCAGGCTGATGCCAGCCAGATTTCTGATTTGGCAGAGAAATCTATGGAAGGGGCAAAGGTAATATATCTTTATATGCTGTTACAGCATATGTAGCTGGTGCTCACATACTGCACCTGTGCCTACCTGTGCATTCCTTCATATGATTACATTGTTTCTGCAGGACTGTGGTCTAAAGAAGCAAACACAATGGAAACAAATAGGTTGTCTTTTATTAGAGAAATTACCTAGTTAAAAAAAATAATACAAACAAACAAAACACAAAGCACTGGATCATATGAGCTGATTGTCATGTTTCTTTTATATAGGAATTTAGCCATTGTTAGATAGTTTTGAAATTAGAGTTTATCTGTGGCTTTTTAACAACAGTATTTGAACAGACAGCATCATGAAGTTTGCTGAAGATTTTACCAGAATGCCACTTCTTGCGTGTATTAGGAATTTGGAGTAAGGATGAGACAGAAAAGATTGCCTTCTTAGAAATATCTTTTTCTTACAGGTTCTTCAAACAAGATTTCCCATGGTGCTTCAGCTGGTAGTTAATAGCAATCTATTAAAAACGTATTATTAAAAACATTCAACATTATAAGCATTTGGCTGCTTATTTATTTCTTAGCATTTTATGTCCTAAGAAATATTTCTGCAATAAATAAATAAATAAATAAATCATCCAGATACTACATAAATAAATAAATAAATAAATAGGAAGAAGAGGGAGAGAGCATGAAGTAATGATACCTCAGTTAGGTCTTGAGTTAACATTTAACTTTCTGCCTGTGATGTTTTTGAGCGATTATTCCATGTGATGTACTCGTATTATGGACAAATAAAATAGTATAAAGGCATAAAAGTGACAAAATGTCAGTTCAAATCCAAAGGAATAATATAAAGAAAAAGTTAACAATGTGTACGATTAAAGCAGCTTGTATAAAGAGTTCATCAAAGAAATACAAGGAAAGTTTATGTGCGTAGATCAAAATACATTCATGCATAATTGCCAATCATAGCATTTTTCTACTGGCAAGAGCTTAACTCTCATTACATTTTATTTGTCTGCATAAGTCCCAGATATTGATTAGATAAAAAATTAGTCTTTCACTTCATTAATTGTATGTGATTTAGTTAGTAATCTCTTTTGAAATAAAACCTTTGTTAATGGCAAAAATATTTCTGTGATAGTGATCATAATCCTAGACATTGAAGCTTACCATTTCAAAACTATCAGGGTTGATGATCACATGCCATTTTTATATTTTGCAATGTTTGTTAATTTGCTTATTATTAACCTTAATGCAATTCACGTAGCCCTCTCTAGGGAGCTGTGAGGAAAATGTATTGCACTGTAAAATTTATTCATTTGTGACATCTGTTAAATTTCTGTAAGAGATTAAAGGTGTAAAACAGATTATAATAATTGATAAAAGCTACCTCAAGTTTACTCATTGAAATAAAATATGATAGTTAGAATATATTATTTTCTTTGAGCATTATTTTGATAACATGATTGTTTCATATTAATGGAAATTCTGTTCAAGTAGAATAATTGAATGCTTTTCAAACAACAAACTGAACTAAGTTTTTCCAGTTACCATTGTCATTTTGCCTAGGTATCTTGCAAGTAGATTGATGACGGTTCAGTATCATAAAATTTCAAGATAATATGTGGTACATAAAGTAGTTTTGGAGCTGAGTTATGTGATGTAGTGAATTCTTAGAGTAACACTTTTATTCAGTGACCCACAGAAAGGCAGATGATCTTGATCTGAATTTCTTTTCTGTCTTATTGGGGAAAAAATAATGTCAAAGCCATTAAGCAAAGTAATGTTCTTTGAATTTATTAGATTTCTCTATAAGCATATTTTTGACAACAATAAGGCACAAGAGCTAATGAGCGAAAACTTGTTTTCCTCTCAGATCTTCCAAATCATATTTTGTATTTGTCTTGCTATACACCTTACCATCTCACAAACAACAAATATACTTCGGGACCAATATTCCTGAATGATGCTCTTTGAGACCGATAACCTATGTAAAGTAACAGTTACAGTGAAATAATTTGATCTTCTACTGTATGATATAGCTTTAACTAGTAAAATTGCACCTAATCAAGAAGAGTAATAATAATTTTTCATACTTGGATTTTGTTTTTCTGTTTTATAGCTCAAAAAAAAGACCATCATTGCTTGGGTTAATCTTCTCACTTCTGTTGTTGTTTTGACATAAGAATTAAATTCATGTGAAACCACGGCTTAGCCTATGTTGGGAAAAGTTAGCATGACTATATATTGTAATAAAAAATGCCAGCAAGTCCTGCTAGTGAACACACTTCTTTCCTGGAATCATTTATGTGCAATGTATTTCATCTTCCTGGGATCAGTTTGCAAATGCAGTAAAACATTCTGGACTTGTTATTTTTCTTTAAAACAGTATTCACACAGGCCTTTCAACAGTGCATAAATTACTTTGGCAGAACTAATCTCTAATGTAGACTTAACCATTATATTGACCAGACTCTCAGAATGTTCTAGTAATTAGAATTTGTGACTTATTAGTGTTGCCTGCTGTTATATGGCTTATTTTGCAAATAGAATAAATACTGAGTAAGTCTAAATGGTGCATAAGTTTAGCTTAAGCGTATACATTTTGGTTCATAGTACTGCTACAATTTATATTTGAATTGCCATAATGACAAACTAGAACCATTTTAATGTACTGTTCTGCTGTTAATGCAAATATTTACATATTTGTGTTCTTACATTATAGAATATTTGATATTAATTAATATTGATCTTTTTCAGTTTTTAGTATGCATACCTCTCACCCACAGTGAAAATTATTGTGTGTTTTTTTTTCCTTCTCCTAACTACTACTGTAAAGTTTACAATAATTTTGATTTTAGAAATTCTTTACATAGGGTCTATGTAAAAATAGAAATAATACATAATGTCACTTCTCCATTAACAGCGCTTATCGAATGGCTCCATAGACTCAAATGATGAAACCAGTCAAGTTATAGAACTCCAGGAGCTACTCGAAAAACAGAACTATGAAATGGCACAAATGAAGGAACGTTTGGCTGCACTGTCATCCCGGGTGGGAGAGGTAGAGCAGGAAGCAGAAACTGCCAGAAAGGAGCTCATTAAAACAGAAGAAATGAACAGTAAATATCAGAGAGACATTAGAGAGGTAAGGAGTTCCGTATATGTACCTCACATACCGTGCCATTTTTTTCTCAAATACCGATACAAGCTGACAGGGATCAGTGAATATGAAAAGCAAACTTGAGCACTGACAAAAGCTCTTGTACACAGGAAACACAACATTTACAGTAAGAAATAATTGTACAAATCTTGTTAAAAATCTGTATTCATAGAAGCGGGTGTGCGTATGTGCAACTATCATAGGAAGATCTCTTGTGTTTTAGAATTGCTAGAGCACATATTGGCAATTATTTCAGTCATTTCCACATTTTTATGCTGAAAGAGATTTAACAGAGATGCTGGTCATGCAGATAATCTAAACTACATTTTTTAAAACTTTGGGCCATTATGTAAATAGCAGTATTTTATGTAATCAGTTATTATCTGTATTCTTGTGTGACAGCTTCATGTTCCAATATGTTATTTACTTTTCTTAATAAATCAGGCTAAGAAATTTTTCACTGCTGTATGTAAGCATCAGAGCATATCCATGTCTGGCATGGAAATATATTGCAGTTTTTTCTTTTCTACTCTTAAATTTGTGGCCCTCCATGGTACTCTACAGAATATCTTATGTAGAACTTGATGTGTGTGAATGGTTGACTTCTGGAATCTATTTTAGTATTTAAAGGTAGTGTAATTGTCTATAACATTCCTTTCTACAGTACAGGTATTTTATTCATGTGCATGTTATTTGTGTCTGTGTGTGTTTGCACATTATATAAATATTTAACCTGGTATTCCTAGTTATCTGGCAGAAATGTTCCCTCTGAACTTCTGACACTACTGCAACATGAAAGCCTCTTCTCATCTATGTGCTGTTTCTTTTAAAATACTGCATGTTCTTTATAAGATCACAACAAAGTTTGCACTGATGTTTCTCCTTTTCCACAGCTGCTCCTTGTAGAAGAGTCTCTAAATTCTTCATTCTCATTTACTTTCTGACAAATACTGCTGTTTCCTGGACACCTTGATTGCTGCTTGCTGTTGCTGCCACTTCTGTTTTGCTTACTCTTTGTTTCAATCCTTTGCTTCTTAAATGAAGTGGTCACTAATACATTTTAATCCTTATCCATAACATATATGGGTAATGTACTTGTATGTCATGGCTATGTTATGTATCCAGCATTTGCATTGCTGCAATTTAAGGAAATTTAATATGTGCTCATTTGCATTGCTGCAATTTAAGGAAATGTCATCTGCTGTCTGTTATAGATATACTTTGGCAAAAATTTTATCAGAACCTAAGAATAACAGTAGGTATGCATATACATTTTTCACGATATCACTATCCTATATTTGTATCATTATGCAATTATTTCATGCTTTCCATTTTCTGATCAAATAGCTGTCATTATTTAAAAAGCAAACAACTAAATATAAGCCAATTTTGCCGTGCTTACTTGCATGGAAAAATCTAGAAACTAGAAAAATATACAAAATGTGGGAATTGTTTTTCTGCTTTACTCAACAGCTACCACTTTAAGCATCTTTGGTGTATGAATCCTGAAAAGGATTAATTTCTCCTTAAAACAGAAAAGTCGTGTTATACACACCTTATGTACTGTTGCTGTTAGCATGAAGAGTAAACTGGTATAAAATTATGTGCCCTTTTAATGGAATGGTTCTTGATTTTTTTTTAAATTTCATTTTAGGCAATGGCACAAAAGGAGGATATGGAAGAAAGGATCACTACACTGGAGAAGCGCTACCTCAGTGCACAGAGAGAATCCACCTCCATACATGACATGAATGACAAGCTGGAAAATGAACTGGCAAACAAAGAAGCCATCCTACGTCAGGTGCAGTATCTGTATTAGTCGGTTATTTTATTCATACGTAATAAAAATTAACATGAAAGGGGGGAGGTGTATCTAATGCATGAGATTTTTACTGGGTTAATCTGCTCTTTTTTAAATGATGTTAATGTAAAAAAAATACGTTTTTTCCTTCTCTAAGCCTCATGTTAGCTACTATGACCATGAAAACCAAGCCAATGTGTGCATTCAATGTTGTGAAATAACTGTGTTTTCTAAGTGTTTTGCATAAGCGTACAATGTCACAGTCCATAAGTAAAGGATCATCTTTGTTTCTTATGTAATGATTTTCTAAATTTGGGGTTCGTTTGCAGTTTTTTTGTTTTGGTTTGGGTTGTGTTTTTTTGAAAGAAAAATGAATAAAAAAGCATAGCCAAAAGAAACTTACTTCTGCAAGAAAAAAAACAACTCATAATATTTACATAAAATGGTAGCACATAAAGTGTTTAGAATCTTCTACATAGTTAAGATTTTATGAAGATAAACCATCTATGAATATCTTTTAGAAAAGAGCATAATGGAATTTTACATTTGTCTATTGTGGTGCTTTGTTTCCACAGTGAATCCAAAAGCTGAAGTGTGAGTAGGAAACACATATATTTTGAGGAATACAAGGTGAACTAAAATAATATTAAGTTAATATCATTTAAAATGTAAAAGACGAAATTGCCCTTAACCTCACCTTTGGTGTCCCAAGTTTTTATTTTTCCTCACCTATCATATCTTAAAAAAAAAAAAAAAAAAAAAAAAAAGTGGCATATGGGAAGTAAGCCAGTGTGATCTGATCATCTATTTCTATGATTGTATGCAGATATATTTACACACATATGCACACACAACTCTGTGTGCATATATATGTATGTGACTACATAGTCAGGGAAAATAAAGTATCAAAACTCAAATACTGCAGCTTATGCCAGTTTCTTTTGACTACTTCAAGATATATCTTCAGTTCTTTGGGGCAGGCAGGTTAGAAGGGAACGATGGAAAAGCAAAGTACGCCCATCTGTCCTTGGAGTCGTCATTACTGGTAATGTAAATCATACTGTGCTATAGAGATCTACCTACTCAAAGCAGTGATCAATACAACTACATTTTGAATATATACAAGCAGACAAGTTCACTTGGAAGATTTTCATATGAAAAGCCTATTTCTTCATGTTTTTGGAGAACTGAAAATCTCATATCCCACTCCTTTTTCATGACTTTTATTACTTGGAACAAACAGGAAAGCAGGTAACAATTATCCATCCATTAGAAAATTCTTAATTGTGATAGATCTCAGTAGGCCAGAAAATACTGCAGTTATCAAAAGCCCTACTGTTTCTCTTTAATAGTTATCACATATTAAACAATTTCACGTTTGTAAAATGAGACAATTATAGCTTCACAATGAATAATTTCATTGAAACCTTAAGTAACTAGCAACCATTATATGATAATGAATGAATTAGTTGAGTAACAAGTGTCAGTTAACTTAACAGACACTTAACATTTCTAATTTCATTGTTGGCATTTGTTCAGTAAATTCACAAGGAGTTCTATCCTTCTGGAATTGTATTTCTTTCCCATTTTAGCTGATATACATAAACTTTTCTGTAAGGTGGATGAAGTACTTCCATTAAGAAATTTCTCATTTTACTGGCATCAATACTTTTATTTTGCTTAGATAAACAACACATCGACCAGAGGAGGTTTTTATTCATCTTCCTAAGTACCATTTTATGATACCTTTTTTTCACCATCATATGATCCTGAAGCCTCAAATCACTCATCATTAATAAAACTGGCAGCCTACACAGTTCCATGCTTGAGGTAAAACTTTTCCAGTAAGTTCCCCCAGGTTGTGGAATACCTAAGCCTTTACAATGAGTTTTGATTGCTTCCCTGATACCTAAGTAATTGAAAGAAAGTCTTTATTCTAATTTCACTGTTTATAATTTTTCATCTATCTTTGGCCTTCAGCTGGAAGACAAAAACAGACAGCTTCAAGAGCGTCTAGAGTTGGCAGAACAGAAGCTCCAGCAGACGATGAGGAAGGCGGAAACCTTACCTGAAGTGGAGGCTGAACTGGCTCAGAGAATTGCAGCTCTGACTAAGGTACTGCCCTGAGAAGCAGGTTCATTTCATTTGTTTAACATTAATTTGCATCTTGATTCCTCAAGGACGAAACAAAAGAAGCGTTGAGCTGATTTGAAAACAGATGTCTTCTGATAAGTATGTGCCACAAGTTCAGTATTAACCAGAAACGGTCTCACTGCCATGTTTGCACTTCTTGCCTTTTGATAACAGATGAAGTAGTTACCTGTAAGATAACCTATGGTGTATTTCCAATATATGCAAACATTAATTAGCCTAGGGAGATCTATTTTACTGTGCAAGAGTTAATGATTTAAAGATTTTTTTTTAAATAAAAGACATATTCCTTCACATACATAATTCTTCTGAACATTTTCACACACCGGTTGTAGGAAACAAAAAATATTCCAATAAGTGCTACAAAAACAAAGCATAATGGCAGATGGGATGATTTGTACAACACAAACGAAGACAACTTGCAGTACATACTTACAGGGCTTGTTTGTATGGTTCTTTGAATTCAAAAAGACAAATGTGAAACTGGGGAGTTCAAACTGTGTATTTTGTGATAACAGTTTATTGCAGAAAAATAGAAGTTTTGCATTGACAGCTCTGAAAGTTCAGGCCCATTGGTTTTCATGATTCACATAAAAGTAGTTTGGAACCAGTCACTGCAGCTTAAGTTGTTTTATGTTGTCTAACTGGGACAGTTACCTCCCAGCTACTTGAAAGATGCAAAACCTATCTGAGGGACTGAGTAATGCTAGGTCATTTTGTCTATGTTGAGCTTTCTTCCAGTATAAAAATCATTAGTAGTACTCAAATTAGCTGGCTTCAGGCTGCCTTAAGTCTGCCTACCTGAGCTGTGGTCACTGCAATGACAATGTGCATTGAGTAGAAGATGAGTCCCCTGATTCAACTACCCTTTCAGCTCTGCAAAAAATTCAAAAATTTGATTCTCCTTTCTTTTGTACTACCTCAATGAAAGTGGCTTCACTGAGATTTATGTGGTTACAATCATGTGAAAGAGGTGAGTTAAGCCTAACATATTTTACATGTTTATCAAAGGAAAGTATTATCGGATAACTGGAAACCATGACTGCTTCACTGTTGGTAAAATATAATGTTTACATGTGGACATAAACCAGAACAAACATATTCTGGAGTTGGATGTGATATTTTTTTTCTCAAATTTAAAATATGCATGTTACAATTCTGCATTCAATTTATTATACTCTTCCTCATAATTAACCTGGGTTGGGATTCTGCATTCTGTAGAATGAGATCCTTCTGTTGTGTCAGTTTAAAAACTTGAGTTACTTTTCTTTCTTTCTTTTTTAATGTGGGCTAGTGAATGTCTTTTGCTACTTTTCCATACCCAAACTAGTTCATAAGGAGTGAACTTCCAAAAGTTTGGACTGTACAGTGAACTCAGATAAGTACTCATAAATTTACCTGAATTATTCAAACTTTTCTTTGGCTTTGTTTTCACTGTGTTCTGCCCATTGGGTGAGCAACTGGAGGGTTAGTCAGCCTATGGCAAACTAACCTGGAACAGCATGATACCATATACTGTGCTGTCCTGCCTGGCCGTCACACTGGCATTCTGTCTGGTCATGACAAGTAGCACAGCTCTCAGCATGTATCCCAAGGTTTAGACTACCATGACTCATTGAGCCACCTTGTACTCACTCTCACAGGATTGGTCTGTTTGTCTGCCCTGCAGAAGAGGCAGTTGATAATAGAAACAACCACTCTCCAGCATTAACTAAAACCTTTATTTGTCCTGGATTATGTTTATTTCCCATAGACAGGACAGATATGACAGCAGTTAGCATCTTAAAATGGTTAGTCTGTCAAGCAGTTCCTCATTGCCTATATTTAAGGAACAGTCTAATGGAGACAGCAGCATCCACTTTTTTCCATTTGGTCACTCCCACCAGCACTCACTCTCCTCTTGGGTGCTTGTGCAGCAGGGGTTCCACGTTCACTTCTCTGATCACAAGGCAATGTAATTCATTTTAATTCATCATTCTGTATACCGGTCACCACAAATACCAACTGTGCCTCATTAGCTGCATTAGGAAAGCACTGCCATGATTTTGGGCACCAGCTCTATATAATATAATCATAATAAAATGCATTTAGAATAGTAACACATTCTGCTTATTTCAAAGATGAAGAAAAGTGACATGAAAGTTGGAGGCAAGTGGGTCCTGATGCAAATTCTGTGATGATGTGGGGAGCTGGTCTGCATTAGATAGGGAAAAAATTACAAGAAAGTGGAAAGATAAGGGCTATAGATGAAAGGGTGCAAATGGGATGAGGAAGGTCTCCTGCAAGCAGTGGATGTGGTTAAGTCAAAAATTCTTTTGAGAAGCATGAAGAAAGATAAGATCTATTAGCTGGAGAAGGAAGTTGAATAATCTTTGGGAAACAGAGAAAATCTTCTATAGGGAAGGAAACCCAAGAAAACTCTATGTTTATACCTTTTTGTCTTCTGAAACCATTCCTCTTCTTGTGCCTCCCCTTCCATGGAAGATTTTTTCCTATTTGATATGAGGAGGAAGTGAAAAGCAAGCTTGATGGAGCTATGTGGAAGGTACTCCTTACTAAACATACAAGGTGTAGGAGGTAGTGGCGAGACAAAGGAGAGAAAAGAATGTGTGGATATCTCATGACTGAAAGATTGGGTATCAGGAAAGGAGTGACTTAAGCCAAAATGTTTTTTCATTATTCGTACTGGACTAGAAGTGGGCATGTAATAACTAGCGTATAACTTTTTGAGCTGTTGTCACTCAGTCACCATGATCACTTGTTTTCACCTCCAACTGCATAGCTCAGTTCAATAATACGTTATTTTATTCTTGAATAATTCACTCATTCAAGAGATAGACATAAGAATATGGGCCAGAAGAAGCTAGAAGAAAATATGGAGACAGTATCAAAAATCTCAGTCTCAAAACTATGGAAATTGGCTTGTACCACTAGAAAAGTTGGGATTTGCTTCTGCAGCTCAGCATGAGAAAGAAAAAAGGATAGCACCTGTACTATATAGGTGCTTTCTGCATCAGTATGACTGAAATTGGATTTTTTTCAACTAAGATGCAAAGGCCTAAAAAAAGTGCAGTGCTAATGGTAACAACTAATGTGAAAGCAACATCTCTTTTGTGAGTGCATTTGCAGCAGGATTAACAGCAGAGCTTTATCAGGTTAGAGAGCAATAATAAGGGCTGCTTTGGT